AGACTGTTTCACGAGTACACACGTCTTCATTATTCAATGTGTTTAAAATTATTAAAGGTAAGCACCGTCACAGCGAGCATTTAAATGAATGAAATGTAGACCTTTTTTGGGAAAAGCTGAATTCTGATGTGGCGCGATGGCATGGGTCTACTCCGGTTATTACTAATCCTGTGTCTCGTTGAAACTTATCTGCCGGGTCTTGAAGTGTAGTCAGCTTGGAGCTCCTAGGGATTGGTTCCTCCGACGCTAGCACGATTGATGTATCCTGTGCTTCATCTTATGCCTTGAGGTTCCAACCTTCTAGTTTTCCTGATAAACTTTAACGAAGTTTCCAGCCAGTCGATCTCCTCCCTTCCTGTTTAAGTGTAGCCCGTCATGGGTGTAGAGGTTTCCCTTGTTCTCAAACTGCATTGGATGCACCACTACTACTATATGCTATTAGTACTTATATTGGATCCCTTCAAATTTAGCTTCTTCGTTTCTGTCATTTCGTATTTGAATTCTCTCCCTTCCTCTTTAGTTAATTGCAAATTTGAAGCTTTTTCTACTACTACTATGATCCGCAGTGTTGACCTGTCTATTTGATCAATTTTGTCTCTTTTCGTCTGTGATATAATGCCTCGGACTAATATTAATGAGTTTATGACTATAAGTACGAGGTTATTGAGTGTGCTATGAAGTATGAAGTATGATGACGGAGCATTGCAAAGCATGAAGATGAGAATGTACGGGATGGGAATTTACCTCTAGAAATTGTATCTCACTGTACTTGATTTCTTCTACGAACGCCCCTGGCTCAATTTCCTCAACGTCCGAAAACATGCCGTATGATTTTGAACGTATTCTAGTAAATCGTCTACGACATGATCGTAACAAAATAACAACCACAAACACTCCAAAACACTTCGACTGTGTTGTATATATCTATGGACTGATACCACTAATTTCTACTATATCATAGATATATATAACACGTACTATGGACTATGACTAACTGGAAAGCTCTTAGCCTATCCACGCACAGCGTGAGTGTGACGCAACCGCGCCATCTGCCGCCATCTTCCAACCACTCTCAAAAGCTGAATTTGCCTGACAATTACATCTGTAGCAAGGCGGGGGAGGGATGGGGAGAGAGAGACAGGAGGTGGTGGGGAGGAGGGGGAAGGGGAGGCAGGGAGGGGAGGGAGGAGGGGGAGAGCGGAGGGGGAGGCGGCGGCAGGGAGGCGGATAGGGGGAGAGGTGGCTGATGTGAGAAAGGGGAAGGGGAGGAAAGAGAGAGATTAAGGAAAAGAAGGCAGCGGTTTGGAAGAAAGCAGCCCATCGGGGGAGGGCGGGACGAGGAGAGAAAGGAAGGGGTTGGAGCAGAGGAGAGGAAGGAAGGGGTTGGAGCAGAGGAGAGGAAGGAAGGGGTTGGAGCAGAGGAGAAGAAGGAAGGGGTTGGAGCAGAGGAGAGGAAGGAAGGGGTTGGAGCAGAGGAGAGGAAGGAAGGGGTTGGAGCAGAGGAGAGGAAGGAAGGGGTTGGAGCAGAGGGGAGGAAGGAAGGGGTTGGAGCAGAGGAGAGGCAGGAAGGGGTTGGAGCAGAGGAGAGAAAGGAAGGGGTTGGAGCAGAGGAGAGGAAGGAAGGGGTTGGAGCAGAGGAGAGGAAGGAAGGGGTTGGAGCAGAGGAGAAAAATAGGAGAGGTAAGGTATAGGGGTTGGAGCAAGAGAGAAGGAATGAAGGGGTTTGAGTCAAGAGAAGTCCTCGCACACGGAC